AACACTGCCTAGCTAACTTTTCTTCTTTATCTGTGTTCTTTTTATTACAGGGAATAGTTTCCCTTACTAGTTAAGAAAAGTAAAATTCAGTCTAGCTGTTCTACCGATGAAGTGAATCTGGAATTCCTGCCCTGTTTTGGTGTAGGTGTGAGCGCGCATATGTGCATGCATGTGTGAGTGTGTGTTGTTTTATGGTTTTGTTTTCTACCTCACAGTAGCCTTTTGTGCCCTGTGCTGAGGGTTAAACCCTGGAAGGGCTTCATACCTGCTATGCAAGGACCTTACCACAGAGCTACAGCACCAGCCCAGTGTCCCCATTTGTGTGTCAGAAAGATTTCCCTCCCCATCGTCTACCCGCCACCATGCTTATGAAACTAACGAAAGATGTGTTGGCTCCATTTTAGGGCACTATCTTGATCAGAAGAGGCTGAAGCAGGGCCTGTATCGTCACCCGTGGGATGATATTTCCTATGTTCTTCCGGAGCACATGAGCATGTAACTGCGTCAGGAACCCTGCTGTAATAAAAGGAAGACAAGAGCTCCCTCCTGAGTAAGAACGGACAGACAGCTGGAAGCAGAGTCCATTATAGGCTGGGCCTGGATCAGAAATAGCCATTGATTTACAGGCATGAAAGACCAACACCTGCAGGCTAGTATCCATGTAGTCCACACAAAGCTTAGTATTATATATATATATATATATATATATATATATATATATATAAGCATAGAAATTGAAAACCAAGCCAATGCTTGTGACATTTGCTCTGCTACCTGCTGTATCTATTGTATGGAAGACTCTAAGTACTCTCAGAATAGTGTTCTTCTAGGGCCTTATGATGTTGCTTTCTTTTTTTAATTAGTTAAAAATTTATTTTTCCTTTGGAGGAAGGGAATGCAACTTTTAAGACTTCAAGATACTGTCTGTCTGTAGGACCCACTGACATCTGGTGTCCCACTTCCCGTTCATCTTCACACAACATGAAGAACACTGTATTAATCTTATTTTTAAGGATCTTTTTTTCTGTGTTATGTGTTAAGGGTTCATTTAGTATCCCACTGATATGTTCTGTGTTACGGATCAGTGTCTTCTTATGTCGGGGAGGGGTAGGACCATTGCATCCTTAGCCATTGTCACACATATGTGGTGTAGTAACTTAAATGTAAAGTTGTAACATACTAGTGTTTAAAATGGAAACACAAGCAAAAAGCTGTGAAATGTCTCATGTCTCTTGTTCTGTGTTTATGCAGCTGATTTGTCTGTTACTGAAGTGTGGGTCCAAAGCCTCATACAGCTGTTTTACACCTGTAACCCACAAAAATTTGGGCAGCTGCCACCTCAGTCTCCTCTCTGTATTATCATGTTTGGTTTAAATAAACTATACAGTAACAGTGGTGTGGTACTGTTCTGTGTCATCTGCTTTAGAGACCGAGCTGTCCTGGAACTATAGTCCAGGCTGGCCCCAGCTGGGATTAAAGACATACACCACTACCCCAGCTCTGGAACTGTAGTCCAGGCTGGCCCCAGCTGGGATTAAAGACATACACCACTACCCCTGCTCTGGAATGTAGTCCAGGCTGGCCCCAGCTGGGATTAAAGGTGTGCACCACTACCCCGGCTCTTAGTTTTACCATTTTAAAATCCACTTCCATCTCTCGAAAAGAAAAAGATAATGAAAATACCAATATATATCCAGTCATGACCCCACCCCCAAAGGCTATAAAAACCTTAAAGTTTAGGCTTGCTGGCACCTTTAATTCCACCACTTGGGATCAGAGTTCAAGGCCAGCCTGATCTCTTTGGCACCTACTAGGTTTTCAGACAGCCAGGGCTGCAAAACCTGATTTGTTGGTGGTATTTGTTTTTTGTTTTGCTTTGTTTTCTTCAAAACGGGGTTTCTCTGTGTAGCCCTGGCTGTCCTGATATTCGCTCTGTAGACCAGACTGGCCCTGATCTCACAGAGATTCCCCCCGGCTTTCCTCCCAAATGCTGGGATTAAAGGCATGTGCCACCACTACCTGGCTGTGAAACCTGTCTTTAAAAAAAAAAGAAAAAGCTGAAGGTAGAGAGATGGCCTAGGAGTTAAGAGCGCAGGCTGCTCTTCCAGAGGACCCAGGTTCAATTCCCAGCACCCACATGGCAGCTCACAGCTGTCTGTAAGTCCTGTTCCAGGAGATCTGATGCCCTCATACAGGCATGCTTTCAGGAAAAACACCAATGTACATAAAATAAGAATAAATACTTAAAGAAAAAGCAGCCAGGCAGTGGTGGTGGCCCGTGCCTTTAATCCTAGTACTTGGAAGGCAGAGGCAGGCGGATCTCTGTCTTTGAGGCCAGCCTGGTCTATACAGAGCGAGTTCCAGGACAGGCTCCAAAGCTACAGAGAAACCTTGCCTCAAAAAAAAAAAAAAAAAATGAAAAAGAAAAAGAAAGAGCTGATCTGGAGAGATGACTTGGTGGTTAAGAGCACTTGCTGCTCATCCCGAGTTCAGTTCCCAGAACCATTAGATTGCTCACAACTATCTGTAACCCTCCAGCTCCAGGGAATCCTACACCTCTAGCCTCTGAGGGCACCTTCACTCTTTTGCATATACCCATTTGTAGAGTCATCTATACTTAATTAAAAGTAATTTTTGAAAAATCTTCAAGAATGAAGGAAAAAGCCTTTAAAACAGGAGCTTTTGAAAAATCTACTTTTAACCTGCGCTTCCCCTTCTCAATTAGTGGTAACTCTAGGCTTAATGACTTAAGCCAAAAGCAGGACTCGCCCTTCTGCTCCCCTGGGCTCTGAGTTCTGTTGATTTACCCTTCAACTCTCCTCTGAGCTATCTGTGTCTGCTAACTGGTGCCCTTATTTCCTCTTTAGTCCTGGTACAAGCCATCTTCCTTACAGACACCAGTGACATTTAAAAATCAAATTGAGGGCTGGTGAGATAGCTCAGCAGGTGAAGACATCAGCTGCCGAGCCTGCCTACGTGAATATGTCAGGAACCACGTGAAAGGAAAGGATTGACTCCTGAACGTTCTCCAACCACAGGTGTGCCAGGGCCTGTGCACAACTACACTACCTCCCTAGACTAAATAAATGTAAAAAGAAAATCTAATTAGGATATTTCACTTCCTTGCTTGAAGTCCCAAAGTGGCTTTTATTCATTTTTCTATGGCACCCTGGCTGTCCAGAAACTCACTCTGTAGACCAGGCTGGCCCGTTCCTCATTTTACTATATATGAAATGGTGACTATGCGGCAAACATTTGATTCAGCACTACCTTGTTTAACCCTGTGTTCTAAAGGAGGCAATGCCCATAACTCCTCACCTTCATGTATTTAGCTGAAATGCAGGGTTTTTTTTTTTTTTTTTTTTGGTGGTTGGTTGGTTGGTTTTTGAGACAATCTAGCCCAGGCTGACCTACTGGAAATGGTCCGTCTTTAGGGTCCCAAGTGCTAGGATTACAGGTGTGAGCCACCATACCCCTCTAAGACATTTTGGGATCTAATAAATAAAGCTTGCCTGAAGATCAGAATGCAGAGCTAAATCACCAGTTAGCCATAGAGGCCAGTGGCACACACATTTAATCCCAGCACTGGGAGGAGGAGAGGTAGAGGGATTTCTGTGAGTTCAAGGCCACCCTGGGCTATACTAGATTGATCCAGTCTCAAAGAGAAATAGTAGCTCATACCTTTAATCCCAGTATTTGGGAGTCACACACCTTTAATTCCAGCACTCGGGGGCAGAGGCAGGTGGATCTCTGAGTTCAAGGCCAGCCTGGTCTACAGAGCGGGTTCAAAGATAGCCAAGGCTACACAGAGAAACCCTGTCTCAAGAAAACCACAAAAAAAAAAAAGGGGGCACTCAGAGGACCAAGTTGACTTCCAGCACATTAGGTGAGTCCTTCACCCCTGTAACTCGAGCTCCGCTGTTCTCTGTAGGCTCCAGGGCACACGTGTGCATATACACAGCCACTTAGATAAGAATAAAATTAGCCGGGGGGCGGTGGTGGCGCACGCCTTTAATCCCAGCACTCGGGAGGCAGAGGCAGGCGGATCTCTGTGAGTTCGAGGCCAGCCTGGTCTACAAGAGCTAGTTCCAGAGCAGGAACCAAAAGCTACGGAAAAACCCTGTCTCGAAAAATCAAAAAAAAAAAAAAAAAAAAAAAGAATAAAATTAAGGGGCTGGAGAGATGGCTCAGAGGTTAAGAGCACTGGCTGCTCTTCCTGAGGTCCTGAGTTCAATTCCCAGCAACCGTATGGTGGCTCACAACCATCTGTAATTTGATCAGGTTCCCTCTTCTGGCATGCAGACAGAATACTGTATACATAATAAATTAAAAAAACAAAAGCTGGGCGGTGATAGCGCATGCCTTTAATCCCAGCACTCAGAAGACAGAGACAGGTGGATCTCTCTGAGTTCGAGGCCAACCTGTTATAGAAAGCTTGTTCCAGGACAGGCTCCAAAACTACAGAGGAAACCCTTTTTCGAAGAAAATAAAATATTTTAAGTTTTTTGTTTTGTTTTTCAAGGCAGGGTTTCACTGTGTGAAAGCTCTAGCTGTCCTGGAACTCGCTCTGTAAACCAGACTGGCCTTGAGCTCAGAGATTCGCCTGCTTCGGCCTCCTCAGTACTAGGATTAAAGGCGTGCGCCACCACTGCCCAGCCTAAACCACGTTTTAAAATATAAATTGGGCGTGGTGGTTACATGCCTTTAATCCCAGCAGGGGTAGGTGGATCTCTGTGAGCTCCAGGCCATCCTGATCTACAGAGCGAGTTCAAAAATCAAACAAAGTTTCTGTGTGTGCGTGTGGTGGTGAGGATAGCCTCTAAAGCAATTTAAAGTAGAAAATTCAACAAAACACGCACAGACGGCAACCCTAATGCTCTCCGCCCCCAGTTTGCCTCACTAGAAGGCGCAAGCTTGGCGGAAGTGCGCAGGCGCAGCTCCGCCCCGCGCGCTCTATTTAATCCCAGAATTCCTCTGTGTCGCACCAGTGTTGCCGCACCGTTCGGAAGCTCTGGGGGCCGGTGCGGCGGCTTCAAGATGGCGGCGGCGGTGGCGGCTGCGGCGGCTGCGGCGGCCGCGGCTGCGTCTCTCCAGGTGCTGGAGATGGAGAGCATGGAGACTGCCGCCATCGGTTCGGCGAGCCTAGCTGCCGATATCCGAGGAGGTAGCACGTTGGACTTCGGGCCCGGGATCTCTGCTATGGAGGCGAGCGGGGGCGATCCAGGCCCAGAGGCCGAGGACTTCGAGTGCAGCACTCACTGCTCCGAGCTGTCCTGGCGGCAGAACGAGCAGCGGCGGCAGGGCCTGTTCTGCGACATCACCCTGTGCTTCGGGGGGGCCGGAGGTCGCGAGTTCCGCGCCCACCGCTCGGTGCTGGCCGCCGCCACCGAGTACTTCACGCCCTTGCTCTCCGGCCAGTTTTCCGAGTCGCGCTCCGGCCGGGTGGAGATGCGCAAGTGGAGCTCGGAGCCGGGACCCGAACCTGACACGGTGGAAGCCGTTATCGAGTACATGTACACCGGGCGCATCCGAGTGAGCACCGGCAGCGTGCACGAGGTGCTGGAGCTGGCCGACAGGTAGACGATGGGGGGGGGGGCGGGGCGAGCGGGGGTTGGGGAGGGGTCGTGTCTGCGGGGACGGGCGGGACAGCCACCGCGCCTGGCACGGAGGAGGCCTTTGAGAGTCTAGCTTGTGCGCCTTGCATCTTAGAGCGCAGGCTCCAGGTGTAGGGACAAAGACGGTAAAAAAAAAAAAAAAGAGCTGTGTGATGACGACATAAAAAAAAAAAAACAGTGGAAGGCTAGCTGCGGGATGGAGGAGCTGACATTTAAGCCGACCTCGGAATGGCAAGAGAAATTAGCAGTGCAAAGGCGGATGGATGCGCCTTCCAGGCTCCCAAAGGCCCTCGGTCGGGATCCAGCTTGTGAGTCTGGACCTGCCGGGCGACGGGGAGGGTGGTGTATGAGATGCGTGGGGGAAAGTTGAGCATTTTACTGGGTGTGATGGATGAGAAAGTGGGTAGAGAGATGATCCGACTGAAATATTTCCAAAGGTTTTCTTAGCTATTGTGGAAAATGGATGGTAGGGAGCCAGAAAAAGATGGCCCAGGGTCGGTTTGGAGGCAGGTGGACGCCGTTTTTAGGGATGGTAGTATTGTTTGTTACAAACTCTTTAACACGCACTTCTTGAGCCGAGGTGTGCACCAGACACTGGTTTTTATGTGAACAAAACACATGAAAATAGATCCCTTTCCTTACGGAACTCCTGTCGTTTAACAGTGAATGCCTAGCCTGTTGAATGGCCGTCACAGCTGTGAGACAGCGGAATGTGATGTGGAGGGTGATGGAGGGGACGGTCTTCGGTTTGTTTGTTTTTGTTTTAGAAACAGGGTCTTCCTATGTATCTCTGGCTGTCCTGGAACTCACTATGTAGACCAGGATGGCTTTGAACTCAGAAATCCACCTGCCTCTGCGCACTGGGATTAAAGGAGTGCCCTGCTATGGCCAGCTGAGAGGAGCTATTTTTAAATTGGGTGGATAGAAGAAGTTCAAAAGACGTAATAAAAGGATGTCGGTGGCAAGGTAGTGTGCTTCAGCTAGAGATTGCCAGTCTAAAACCCCCACGTAGACAGATAGAGAACAGCAGGGTCACGTAGCTGGACGGGAGGGAGGGAGGCAGTTAAAAGGAACAAAAGCATCATAGTGAGGATGGAGCCCTTAAGATAGTGGTTCTCGACCTTCCTAGCTGTGACCCTTTAATACAGTTTCTCATGTTGTGGTGACCCGCTGAGCATAAAGTTATTTTTGTTGCTATTTCACAATTATAATTTTGCTAGTGTTATGAAACGTAACATAAGTATCCAATATGCAGATTTTCTGATAGGTGACCTCTGTGAAAAGGGTCATTTGACCCCAGGGAGTCTCAACCCACAGATAGAGAACCACAGCCTTACGGGCCGCCTGTGAAAGGAGCTGAACTTTTGTTTTTCGAGACAGGGTTTCTCTGTAGCTTTGGAGTCTGTCCTGGCACTAACTCTGTAAACCAGGCTGGCCTTGAATTCAGAGATCCGCCTGTCTCTGCCTCCCAAGTGCTAGGATTAAAGGCGTGCACCACCATTGCCCAGCTACACAGGGTTTCATTGTGTAGCCTTAGCTGTCCTAGAACTAGCTCTGTAGATCATGCTGGCCTCAAAGTCATAGCACTCTGCCTGCCTCTGCCACCCAAGTGCTGGGATTAAAGGTGTGCCCACCACTGCCTGGCTAGAGCTGAACTTTTTAAAATAGAAGTTGGTGAGAATGATAAATTCTGTATTGGGGGAAAAGGATGCAATGGTGGGAGGATGCAGATAGTTTAAGTCACCACAATAGTGGTAGAGGCTTTGATTGAGAAGGAAGGTGATGAGAAGAGGTGACACCTGTGTGTGTATGCTTTGAGGTTTATTTTATGTATATGAGTGTTTTGCCTGCATTTATATGTGCACAGTGTTAGTGCTTGGTGCCTAAGGAGACCAGAAAGAGAGCATGTCATGCTGGCAATTGAACCTGAAGAGCAGCCAGTGCTTTTAACTACTGAGCCATCTCTGCAGGACATCTATGTTTTGAAGTAGAGATGAACTGCCAGTTTACTTGATACGGGAGTAAGGAAAAAAAAGGGTTTTTTTGACCCTAGCACTTTGGAAAGATCTGATTATTATTACAGTCTGAGGAAATGCTGGGAAATTCATCCCAGCACTTTTGGAAAGCAGAGACAAGCAGATCTCTGAGTTTTAGGCCAGTTTTAGTTTGGTCTGTATATTTAGGCCAGCCAGGGTTTCATAATGAGATCTACCCCACCTCTTCATTCCTCAAAAAAGATGTGGGAGAATAGGGGTTATGGGGATGGCCCAGCCATAGATAAAATGCCTGTACTGCAGCATAAGGACTTGACCAGTTCTTTAAAAGTTGGGCATGGTAACCCCAGCCTTGAGGGATAGGGCAGAGACGGGCTGATTTCTGAAGCTCATTGTCCAGCCAGACTGGCCCAGTGGATGGGGCTCAGTGAGAGACCTTGTCTGAAAAGAATAAAGGTCGAGGGGCTGGAGAGATAGCCCAGTGGCTAAGAGCACTTGTTACTGTTGCAGAAGACCTAGGTTGGATAAGTTCCCAATACCCACATGTCGGCTCATAACCATCTGTAACTCCTGTTTCAGTGAATCTGATATCTTCTGGCCATCAAGGACATCAGGCACACATGGTGCACAGATAAACATGTAGGCAAAACACTTGTGCACATAAATCTTTTTTAAAAAGTCTAGAATAAGATGGAGATCAATCAAGGAAAGACATCTGATATCAAAGCCTTGTGCTTCTCTCTACATTCATACTCACACAAAAGATACTGAAAATTGAACAGATATGAGAAGGTCAGTGTGGACTTGTTCACAATGTCTGGATAAGCTGTTAGATTGAGGAACATTGGATCTCCAGTTAAGTTATGAAGGAAATCACAAGTAGAAACAATGTCACAGATAGGGATATTTCCAGGGATTGGAGAGATTGCTCAGCCATTAAGAGCTATGACTGCTTTTCCAGAGGACCTGTGTTCAATTCCCAGAACCCATATGGTGGTTCACAGCCGTCTGTAATTCCAGTTTGAGGGTCCAGCTCCCTCTTCTGATATTGGCAGTAGGCTTATACGTACATTCAGGCACTTGGAAAGCAGAGGCAGGCAATTTCTGTACAGCCAGGACTGTTAAACAGAGAAACCCTGTCTCAAAAAACAAAAGTATTTAAAAGGCCGGGCAGTGGTGGCGCACGCCTTTAATCCCAGTACTTGGGAGGCAGAGGCAGGCGGATCTCTGTGAGTTAGAGGCCAGCCTGGTCTACAAGAGCTAGTTCCAGGACAGGTTGCAAAACCACAGAGAAACCCTGTCTCGAAAAACCAAAAAAAAAAAAAAGTATTAAAAAGGATTGGGTTTAAGGTAGAGTGCCTACTTAGTTGACTGTAAAATAGAAAATGGTGGAATATGTTTGTGCTGAAGAAAATAATTCTGTGGAAGAAGAGAAACTGATAATCCTCCATACTAAAGTTGGAGATTGAGTGTTGCACTCCTGTAATTCCAGCACTTGGGAGCCTGAGGCAGGAGATTTAGGCCAATCTGGACTATTTAGTGAGACCCTTTCCAGGAAATAGTAAGGATTGGATGCTGGCTGTGGTGGCTCACGTCTTTAATCCCAGCACTCAAGAGGCAGCAGCAGGTGGTCAAGGCCACCAAGGGCTACATAGAGAGACCCTATCTCAAAATGAAACCATAGGCCAAAGTGGGAAAGAAAATACAAGGTATAACTGCAGATAGATTGGGAAGATAAAGTCCCTGCCTACCTGATTGCTTGTCTCAGAGCACAAGACTGGATCGTCAGGATGGGTAGGGTGTTTACAGCCTGAGAAGGGTTGTTAAATGAAACCCAGAAGAAGAGCCATTATCAAGTTTGCTTGGTCTGTCTATGACTTAAAACTTGCCGACATGGTGGTGCATGCCTTCATTCTTTTCACTAGGGAAGCAGAGACAAGCTGCCACTGTGTTCAAGGCCAGCCAGGGCTACATAGAGAGACCTTGTCTCAAAAATACAAAAAAAAAAACCCATAATCTAACTGTTCTCCATCCTTCACACGTGCCTGTAATGATCGAGCTTAAAGAGCTCTGAGGTAGGATCGTCTTCTCTGTGCCCACATAGACTGTCTGTGATTAGAAATAATAGAATAAGCAGAGTCTCTAGGCTCAGCGCTTTAATCCCAGCTCCTCAGGAGGCTGAGGCAGAAGAATCACTGATTAGATAGATCCTGTCTCTAAAATGAAGGTTGGAGGGAGGGATTAATAGTAGAGCACCTGTCTAGTATGTTTTAGACCCTGAGTTGAATCCCCAGTCCTGTAATAAATAAATATAAACAGACATGTGCAGCACAGTGTTCCTTACATAACAATGCCAAGTGTGCTATTGTTTTAATAGAGTAATGCTTCCCAAAACCTGTCTAAGGTGGTATACTTCAGAATTACCTGCTAAACATAGGAGCTTGAGGCAGCCTGGGACTCAGGTGGTTCTGGCACCCAGATTGTCTGGGGCTCTCTAGAGTCTAGAGCCTTTCCTCGCCACTCTACCTGGTCTTTGTTTCATCTCTAAGGTGGGAATGTTTCTTCAAGAAGGTTAAGAGAGCTTGTCTTAATTCGTCTGTATTTTGTAATTAAGTAGTTACTAAGCACAGTAACCATAATAAACCATTATTGAATAGAAATGGGCCTGTCATGATGACATCATTCTTAGATTGTTTAAGGTTCTTTTCAGTTAAAGGGTCTTTTTCTTCTATAACCTTGGTCTCAGATCCACCTCTCTTGGGCTAAGTGCTATTAATTAGATTGATGATTTGAGCGAACACTGTTGTGTTTTGTTTTAACTCATATTAATTTAGGTGGGTGGGCACTGCTATAAATCATTTTTCTTTTTTAAGCTACACATGATTTTTTTGTTGTGATTTTGTTTTATTTCCAGGCTTCAGCCTTGGGTAAAGCCCCTTAGTCTACTTTCTGTGATTGCCCAAAGAGATGAAAACCTAACTCAGCCAAGGCTGAGTTCTTTGAGATACCTGACCAAGCTGAGCCTTCAGAAAGTTAGAGTTCCTGCCTGCCTCTAGTTTAGACTAGATGATCATACTGCCTTTCACCAAAATTGTTTCTCAATAAAAAAAGAACCGAAGGCTGGGAGTGATAGTGCATGTCTGTGATCCTGGCACATAGTCGGTAGAAGCAGAAGGGTTGTCCTTCGCTATATGATGTGTTGGAGACCAGCCTGGGCTACTTGAGATGCTGTCCCCAAAAAACAAAGCAGAGCCAAAATAAATAAATCAGAGGTCCAGTGACTGCAAAAGGATTAGAAAAAATGTCAAGGGCTGGAGAGATGGTTCAGTGGTTAAGAGCATTGCCTCCTCTTCCAAAGGTCCTGAGTTCAATTCCCGGCAACCACGTGGTGGCTCACAACCACCTGTAATGAGGTCTGGTGCCCTCTTCTGTCCTGCAGGCATACATGCAGACAGAATATTGTATACATAATAAGTAAATAAATAAATTTTTTAAAATGTCAAAAATGCATTTGGATTGGCATTTGTCCTTGTTGTATGTGTGTATCTGTGTGACAATATGTGCATATGGGTGCAGTGTCCAAGAAGGCCAGAAAAGGGCATTGGACCCCTTGTAACTGGGATTAGGCAGTTGTGAGCTAGTCAGTATGGGTACTGGGAACCAAACTCAAGTCTTCAGATGCCATCCTTTGGCTTCCAAGGGTACCAGTTATGAATGTCACACATAGACATACATACAAACAAAATACCCATACATAGAAAATAGAATCCAGGCATAGTGGCACATATTTTTAATCCCAGCACTCGGGAGGCAGAAGGAAGATCTCTGTTTCAGAGTTAAACGATGAGACTGTCTTAAAAAATAAATAAATAAATAAATAAATAAATAAAGGCCAGGCAGTGGTGGCACACACTTTTAATCCCAGCACTCAGGTGGATCTCTGTAAGTCTGAGGCCAGCCTGGTCTACAGGTGAGTTCTAGAACAGCCAGAGTTCAACACATAGAAACCTAATTTCAAAAAAACAAAACAAAGCAAACAAAGAAACAATAAATAAATGAATTAATTAATTTTAAAAAAGTTTTCCAGGTAGGCCTTGACCTTGCGATTCTCCTATCTCGGTCTCCTGAGTTTATGATTCATGAATACAGGCATGAGCATGTAATCTCACTTTTTACAAATGTATTATTGTGTGTCTATGATGTGTGGGTGCCAGAGTACACACCTGGAAGAGGACAACTTTGACTTTATGTGGGCTCTAGGGATTGAACTTGAATCTCTAGGCTTGCTCTGGCAAGTGCTTACCCTCTGAGCCATCTGCAATAATAAGACCTATCTCAACCCCTTCCTCCTGAAAAACTTGCTTGTTTTTTTTTTTCCAGATACTGTGCTTATGAGATTAATCCTACCATTTCAATATGTATAATCCAAGTGCACCTACATTGCAACCAAATGAAATAATTACATTCCAACATTAATCTTTTCTCTTTTTCTTGATTCTAGATTCTTACTGATTCGTTTAAAAGAATTTTGTGGAGAATTTCTCAAGAAAAAACTTCATCTCTCAAATTGTGTGGCCATTCATAGTTTAGCCCACATGTACACCCTGAGTCAGCTTGCTATGAAAGCTGCAGAAATGATCCGGAGAAATTTCTATAAAGTCATTCAGGATGAAGAATTTTATACTTTACCTTTCCATCTCATTCGAGACTGGCTTTCGGATTTGGAAATTACCGTGGATTCTGAAGAAGTTCTTTTTGAAACGGTTTTGAAGTGGGTTCAGAGAAATGCTGAAGACAGAGAGAGATACTTTGAAGAACTTTTTAAATTGCTCAGGTTGTCCCAGATGAAACCCACCTACCTTACACGGCATGTCAAACCAGAGCGTCTGGTGGCCAATAATGAAGTTTGTGTCAAGCTGGTGGCTGATGCAGTGGAGAGGCATGCACTCAGAGCAGAGAACATACAGTCTGGCACACTCCAGCATCCCGCATCCCATGTCTCACTCTTACCTCGCTACGGACAAAACATGGACGTAATCATGGTTATTGGAGGTGTGTCAGAAGGAGGAGACTATTTAAGTGAGTGTGTGGGATATTTTGTTGACGAGGACAGATGGGTCAATCTGCCCCACATTCATAATCACCTTGATGGACATGCTGTTGCAGTAACAGAATCTTATGTGTATGTTGCTGGCTCGATGGAACCAGGCTTTGCTAAGACTGTGGAAAGGTACAACCCAAACTTGAATACATGGGAACACGTTTGTAGTCTGATGACGAGAAAGCATTCTTTTGGGCTAACAGAAGTCAAAGGGAAGCTGTATAGCATTGGAGGACATGGCAATTTTAGCCCCGGCTTTAAAGATGTGACTGTTTACAATCCCGAGCTTGATAAATGGCACAACTTAGAATCGGCACCAAAGATTCTTCGCGATGTCAAGGCACTAGCTATTGAAGACCGGTATGTGTACATTGCTGCCCGCACTCCTGTGGACCGGGACACCGAGGATGGATTGAAGGCTGTAATTACTTGTTATGATACAGAGACTCGACAGTGGAAAGATGTAGAATCTTTACCACTTATTGACAATTACTGTTTTTTCCAGATGTCTGTGGTCAATTCAAACTTTTATCAGACAGCATCTTGCTGTCCCAAGAGTTATTCTTTAGAAAACGAAGAGGCAGTAAGAAAAATTGCCGGTCAGGTGTCTGATGAAATCCTTGAAAGCTTGCCTCCAGAAGTCCTGAGCATTGAAGGAGCAGCCATTTGCTATTATAAAGATGATGTCTTCATTATTGGAGGCTGGAAAAACAGCGATGATATTGACAAACAGTATCGGAAAGAGGCCTACCGATACTGTGCTGAGAGAAAGAGGTGGATGCTCCTTCCTCCCATGCCTCAGCCCCGTTGTAGAGCCACCGCTTGTCACGTTAGGATCCCCTACCGGTATCTGCATGGCACACAGAGATACCCTATGCCTCAAAATTTAATGTGGCAGAAGGACCGCATCAGACAGATGCAAGAGATACACCGGCACGCCCTGAACATGCGGAGAGTGCCAAGTTCCCAAATTGAATGCTAAACATGCCGACGTGCGCAGCTGGAAACTGTTCTCCCCATCCCATGGGGCTGGAGATGCCTGGACTGTTACTTGGAAAAGTATGTCAATAACTTATTTTCTACTTGGACTTACTCCCTATAACGGAAGATAGTTAAAAAAAGCAAACAGGAAACTCAGTTTAGTGTGGTAATTTTGTTAACTTCCAGTCCTGTCTTTAGTTTGTATGCTGGCAAATAAGATCTTATTAAAGAGAATGGGGGAAAGCGAGTCTAGGTATTTGGCCTTTTTTCTGCCAACAACTGTAACTCCTTTGTTTTAGGGACCTAATATTTGGGGCTTTAAGCACCAGCATTATTTGCACATTTACTTTGATATTCCTTTACATTTTGTGTAGATTGTTTGTTTTCAGTGATATCAATTTATGCATTAAGTTCTCATCTGCAGGAGGCATGTGCAATAGTGAGACTGGATCTGAAGATAAAAGCACAATGTTTCAGCAAGATTGATCTCAGAATGTTGGTGCTCACGTTTGTTTTATGTGTTTATAAATGCTGTTTTTGTTCCTTGGAAAGAGTGACCAATGAGAAGTTTGTGATTGGCACATCATCTGGCTTTTATTTCTGCCGCAGCTATTTATAGACTGGAAGCCATCATTCTGAGATGAGAATTGGGGAGGTATTAGTATTTAGCTGATTTTACTAGAGAGGAAGTTACATAGGTGAAGTTTGTTTCTCTAAGAAAAGTGTTCAGTGTTGCTGAGAAAGCAAGTGAACAACATTTTGAAACACTTTGAAGGGTTGTGACTGAGCTGAGGAGTTTGCAGCATGCCCGTGACAATCACACGTGATGCCTTCAGTTCATTTTTTGCTCCATTGAATATTATATAGGCTCTTTATCAGTTCTTTCCACAAGAAAAACTTTCAAAATGGCAAGGAAAGTAAGAGTTTAGAAAATACTCCTCTAAGAGAAGCCATGTTATTTCTGGCCCTTAATTGCCATAATATTGTACTGGATTACCCTAGACTTTTATTGGAATTTAGAGCCTAGAATACCAAACCTGAGTACATAGTTTTGGCTTTTAAATATTTAAGGTTTTCACATAACACATTTAATAGAAAAATGTCAAAAGGTTAAATAATCAGTTCAATGACTGTCATCTTTCAGAAAAGGTTTTTAATCTATACATATTTTTATTACTCTCCCTAAAGTAGTCTTAGTTTTTTGAGACAGGGTCTCTCTATTTAGCCGTGGCTGGCCTGGAGCTCACTAGGGTAGACTAGGCTTTGACCGTACATAGATCCTGAGGGGAAAGCTTCCAATAATAAGCTACAATGATACTGTACATTCACATTCCTCTAACTGTTCACATTTATTAACATTTTCTTGAGCTGTTATTTTAGAGCTCTCATATTCAAGATCTATAATTCTCAGTTGCTTTAGGTATATCCTTGAGTCCCATTCTCTTAGTGTCTGCATATTCTTTGTTTGCTGATTTTATCACCTATTTCTGTGTATGGTATTGAGGGTTAGCTCTTTTCTTTAGTGTCTATTGAGCCTTGTATTGGTATCATTGCTTTTGTACTATTTTTGATAATAAATCCCTGCTCGGTACTTAAATTTTTTTTTGTTCATCTGTAGACAGAGTATATAGTTTCCCATTTTTCTTTAAGGATCTGGATCTAATTTGTACTTAATTTCTGAACTCCCTTGTGCAGGACTTTAGTCTTGGAGTGCTCAGCCTTAGGCTTTTGTGAGTAATCCTGTTCTTGGTGGAACATTGTACAACTTCTCTTGGTGAATCCTACCATCAAAGAAACATTATTTCTCTTTTGGATTTTTGTTTTAATGCAAATCTCAAATTGCAGAGATTTCCCCAGATCTGCTGATTTTATTTTACCTTTGATTTTTTTTTTGTTGTTGTTTTTTGTTTGTTTGTTTGTTTTTTGTTTTGTTTTCTTGATAGTCTTCTATGTAGTGTTGGCTGACCTGGAAGTCTCTATGTAGACCAGGCTGGCCTGAACTCATGGAGATCTACCTTCCTCTGCCTGGGGTTAAAGGCCATGTCCCACCCACTATGCTGGGCTTGACGGCTCTGTAGCACATTAATTTTATTTTCCACTTCTTCAGTTTCTTTTGTAAGTTCATGGTGTTAAGTCATTAGGGTCTTTCATGGCATTTCCTTCTTTTCTGTCCTAATATTGTCTGTACATTTTGTTTTCCTTTGAAGCCTTCTTTCACCTGGTCTGTTTCATGAGCCCCCTTGACTTGCAGCACAGCACCAGTGATGGATCTGGACTTCCCAAACCTCTGTACTCTGTACTCAGAGATTCTCTGAAAGAGCTGTTTTGTCTATAAGCTGCTGGATATTGGTTCCCCATCCTTGTAGATTTGCTGTCTTAAGCATGGTCAGCAGCATCAGTGCCACTGTGCTTCAGCGCCTCTGGCACTTGTGATTATGTTTGTCATTCCTTCCAACCTAATTCCTTTCACTCCCATCACTTCTTTCTAAACACTGTTGTGCTGGATTGGCTTTGAGAATATATGAATGTTTTTCATATTCAGGAAGAATTTCCCTATTGATTTAACATTGACAAGTCAATTGTAGTCAGTCCAAAGACATCTTGATTGATCTGTTGATTCATAACTGGTATATAAGCATTCTTTAGTAAAGATTCAGCTGTGATCCTCACTGACAGCCAGGGTAAAGCCACTTCTTTTTCTTGCTTCAGTATTCACTTCATGTTCAAGGGTTTTTTTTTTTGTTTTGTTTTTTGTTTGTTTGTTTGTTTTAACAAGCTTAGAGAACACAGTTACATTAAGCATGCATATTTAGAGCAACACTGCTCTCCAGCAGAATAGAGGAATGTTCTCTTGACATTGTAGGGCCTTCATCAGACCTGTGCAGTCACCACTTCTGAGTAGTCATACCCACAAGCAATATATAAAGCAGTTAGGAGTGCGGATAATTCTCAAGGTGGCATCACTAATAGGTCCCATCCTCTAATGGGCTTTGACCTCAAGGAAGTTACATCAAGGAATACCCATTTTTTGAGTTTCTATCCACTCCTGGGCTTTATGCAAGTTAGTATTCAGGCTAAATCTCTCAACACTCACTTAGCATAGATTCCTGTTCAGTGGGCTAGAGAGGTGGATCATCAGGAAAGCACATTTGCCTTTTTCTCACTGAGTTTGGTTCCCACATCCACTTCAGGCAGCTCACAGCCTCTATAACTCCGCCTTCAGGGGATCTAATACCCATGGCCCCCGTGGGCACCCGCATTCATTCACATGGACATATCCACAAGCAGACACAAACATCTAATTAATTAAAAATTGGGTATGGAAGTGCTCACCTGTGAGCGGAGCATTTGGGAAGCAAAGGCAAGAAGATCAGGAGTTCTGAGCCAGTCTAGTTAGTATACATGTGAGACCCTGCCTCAAACTAACCAACAACAGAAGGGTAACTAATCATAGAGTACATAAATAATATAAAATAAGACTCTTGATGGTTTGTATTGTAAATCCGATTTTAAATTTAAGAATGTCTTCACCTCCTTCTCTCATTCTGGAAAAGTCCAAGAAGAGTGATCTAGACTTCCCCGATTGTACTAGAGTTAACTTTATTATGTGATAAAATAACAGAAGCACAACCAGAAATTTAAGCCATTTGCTTAATGTTCTTGGATTCTGTACTGATAATATTCTTGAAGTGTCTAAATTAGTGTTCTTGTCCAGGACAAGGGTTAATAGCTATGTTGGAAATGTGCTTTAAAGCCATTTAACTTAAACTGAAGTGAGTCTGGGAAACCACAAGTCCTTTCCGCATAAAGGATCTATTATCCTCCCCCTTTCCCTTAACTTTTTCTCAGTTTCCATCCTTTGGGTTTCTTTAGGTTGGTGTGTTTTACAGTGCTGGGAACTGAACGCAGGGCCTTGCACACGCTAGGGAAATACTCTGCCAACTGGGTTGCTTCCCAGCCCTCTTTGTGGTTACCTTCATAACATAAATAAGCCTTTGGATTCTGAGAAGCATTCCTTAGTTATAAGAGGTCTGTGCACTGAAGGAAGCTTGCCTTTATCTCTAATTTTACAAGCAAATCATTTAATATTTCATCAGGATGCCAGCTTTCTCCAGAAGAATGTCATATTTTGATTTTTGACTTTTTGGTCCCAGAATTGTATTTTGGGGCTGTCATCACCAAGTTGTTAATAGGGCCATCTTTTTGTCTTTTTTTTTCCCCCTTTATTTTTTGGCAGACAATATAACTCCTAAGGTTTAGGTATAATCTGGTTTTAAAAACTTGATTGAAACCACTGTTTTTTTGACTCAGCAGGCAGCCTAGACCCTGGCTGAATGAAGGGGTAAGTCCTTCCTTGCATGATGGTGTGCAGGTTTTCCTGACTACCAAGTTTCTAATGTTCATATGTGAATTCACGTGTGTGGCTTCACCACCATAACTTGTGTCTCCTAAATACTCTAACTAACTTGTTAGGAAGGGAAGAAACCAGATTTGCTTAAATCTGTTCAAGGCTGACATTCTGAAAATTTAAACTGGACATAACAGTATTTATAATAATAATTGTGCAGGTCTAATATAGCTCTTTGTGAAAGTTATAAACATAGCTTTTTTAAAAAACTTAAATGTATTCAAGTGAACCTTTGTTTTGTTTTTATTTTTCTATGTTGGAAAGAACTCGATTATACCAAAAAAGGTACGACTGTCCATTACTTGGAGTAAGGCTACTTCCACATCATAATGGGCCCTTCCTGTCTACCTTTTAGGTTGAGAATGTCAGTCGTGAGCTTAGGGTTTAAGCGATCATCGCTTGCATGATTAGTCTTGTGTATCCCGACAGCTTTGCTTTTTTGTGCCAGTTCAAAGTAAGATTTTTGTTAAGAACACTTAAAATTAACTGACATCAGTTTTGTTTTGGTTACCTGGTTGTGTGTAGTATTTCTGGGACCAAAAATTCTTTTAAACTACTGAGCTATTAAAATACAGACGCTCGGTCTGAAGCCAGAGAGCGCCTTTGTGTTCAGCCCTGTCATAGCTGGTAGGCAGGTTCTTGTGCACACTTTCCTCTCTGACTGTAGCATGTGGTGTGTTTGAAATACTTCCTTTTCTGCTTCCTGATTCAAGTGTCAACACTATAAGTAGACTGGAGCTGTGTTACATATTTTAGCTACTTGGTCTAATAAAGTATACAGGACCTCTTTCTGGTACCTTCTGAGCTAAGCTTACGTGCAAAGGGCATGTTAACACATTTCGTGTCTTTGAACATATATGGTGTTGTGAAGCATTCGTCTACACTAGAGAAATGCGGTGCTTCGACCCTAGAATATTTGAGCAACAATTCAGTCTGTTCTCAGCCATTAAACATTTTGGCATGACTCGTCACTCCATTTGTTATTTTCTTGAGGAAAGTCCATTTTGTTGTTATACTTACAGCACATGTTCTGGTCATAAAACCAAACAGTTGTTGAGAGTTGTAATACAATGACAGTAACTTTACAAAGTAGTCATTTGCTGCGAGGACTTTACTTAGCCAAATCACTGCTCACTGTAACCCTTACAGAGCTTTTGGCTTACTCTGTGACCCTTGCTAGGAGTGTGGTACCTTGAAGCACTTGTTAATCAGTTACCCCTCCTGCTTCCTGCACCTGTGAAACACAGTACTAGGTGTTTGAAGATTTTACCATCCATGGGCTGGGGCTAAGTTGTGTTATTTGTAAAATAAGTATTTAGTTTAAAAACAGTTTTCTTGGCTTAGTGGCACCCAAGCCCCTATGCAAGATAGAATCTTGGTTATCTCCCTTCAGATTAGAGGAGATGTAGTATTTAGAACACTCTGAGATATTATGTTTATGTTCCTGAAGCTATCTTGCTCGTGTTCAAGTTACTAATTGTCCAAATGTAAGTTTTCAATAAACATATTTCTGTAGAGCTGGTTTTATACTGTGTGGTTCTTTTCTTAATTATGCACTGTTGAAAATAATCACCTTCTTTCTTAACTCTCTCATTTATCCAACCCTTGCTTCCCTTAAGTTGAACATTTTCCAGTACTCTTACAAGTTTAAACACTGCATTTATTTAAAAAAAAAGAATTAATTCTTATTGCTTAGACTTTTTATTAGCTAAATGAAGAGGCTCATACAGGTAGGGTACTTGTGGAAGCGGAATACTTTACTTCATCTCGCAGTGCTAATCCTGTGAAGTTGTCCCGCCTAGCTGCATACTCCCCAACATTGGCCAGCCCTGGCACCACGCAGCAACTCAGGGCACTGCGGTATATGCTCATGTCGTGGGCGTCATACCACTCGTCCGTCTTTTCATCATAACACTCCACATTAAAGGTGGTGGTAAAGCCATTAAAGCCGCCCACCACAAACAAGAGGTCGTCCACTACCTCGATACCAAAATTGCTACGAGGATTAAACATAGTGGGGATTGTGCGCCACGTATTAGCCACTGGACTGTAGGCTTCTGCACTCCTCAGTCGATTAGCTCCATCAAAGCCACCTACCTGTGAAGAGCAAAAGAGACAAGGTTGACTGCTATCCATTGCTTCTGTTTACCGAGGAATGCTCGCTAATGACAGGCTGAGCCTCTTTGCTATTAGAAAGTCTTAAGGGTGCCATTTTATCATGATACAATGGAAACTCACTGCGTATACATGTTCCCCGTAAGCAATTACACCTATTCCGCTCCTCCTGCTCCTCATGGGTGCAATGACTGTCCACTGATTGCTCTCAGTGTTGTACACTTCTGCTGTAAACAGGCATTCGTTTCCATTAAACCCACCACATATGTAGACCTGTGAGGAGAGAATTCAGGATCGTTAAGTTATACTGAGGCGTACACAGAAGATAACAAGGCGAGGACTTTCAAGTTTTTGGAGAGCTGTCTTCTAAGCGTGTGGAGAGGACATAGCAGCTGTCCCAGCCCAAAACTTAGCCTGTGCTGGATGCTCTCCAAGTTGCAGGCCAGCTGGTAGACGTGATCAGGGACAAGTTGTGTATTATTTTATGTGTATGAGCGTTTTGCCTGCAAGTTTGTACACCACGTGTATGCAATGTCAGTGAAGGCTGGGGATCCCCTGGGATTAGAGTTAACAGTTGTGACTTACCATGTGGGTACTTACAATTGAACCCAGATCTTCTGGAAGAACAGCCAATGTTCTTACTCTCTGAGCCAACTCTCCAGCCCCTCCATGTGCTTTTTTTTACTTTTTTGTTTGTTTCTTTTGCAATAAAGTCTCACTTTTACTATATAGCCCTGGTTGCCCTGAAACTCCCTATGTAGACCAGGTGGGCCTCCCTGCCTCAGCCTCCTGAGTTTAAAAGCCTGTGCCACCACACCATCTTTCCCTGTCCTCTTTTTCCCCCAATCACATTTGTATGCATGCATGCACCTGTGCCATGTCACACATGTGGAGGTCAGAGGACAGCTTGCTGGAGTCAGTTCCTTCCTCTCATCTCTCCTAGGTAACAAGGGTGGAAGTCGGGTTATCAGATTTAATAGCAAATGCCTTTATCCACTGGACCATCTCAAAGGCCCAGGGGGCACTTTTTGAAAGATTTATTTGCTTATGGATGTTTTGCCCATATGCCTGTCTATATAACATATGTGTGTCATGTCCTCAGAGGCCAGAAGGTGTTAACTTTCCTTGGAACTGGAGTTACAGACTGTTAAGCTGCCAGGTGGGTGTTGAAATCTAATTGGAGTCTTCTGGAAGAACAGCCATTGCTCTTAACCACTGAGCCATCTCTCTAGTCCCCCAGGGGACATTTTTAATGCCAGTCTATCCATTATCCTCTCTCTATGTGCATGGATTCTGTGTGTACATGAATGTGTGGGGATGCCAGTATGTATGTATGCATACGAAGGCCAGAAGTCCTCAGGAACCATCCATTTTTTCGCATGGATATTGTATGTGTATGGATGTGCACATGCATGCATGAGTGTCTCTGCATTTGCTGTGATGCACATTTTGAGGTCAGAAGACAACTGCTTCAGACTGATTCTCTCCCACTGTTGCTTCTGGATTGAACTCAAGTCAGGCTTGGTGGCAAGCTCCTTTACCTGCTGGGCCCTCCGCATGGCGCTGCCCTTCTCTTAGTTTCAACCTATTTATTTCTGTATGTGTGTGCGTGTGTGCCTGTGTACCTGCTTATCTGTATTTACACCGTGTGTATATAGGTCCTTGCAGAGGTCAGAAGAGGGCATCAGATCCCCCGGAACTGGAATTACAGGTGGTTGTGAGTTGCCAGTGGTCCTCTGCAAGAAAAGCTCTGAGCTGCTGAACCTTCTTTTCAGGTCCCCAGCTTCTTTGGTGGGTGGGTTGTTCTAAGACATGGTTTACTCACTGCCCTGGAACTTGCCAAGTAGGTTAGGCTAGTTGGTTTTTCATAGAACAGAGAGCCGCTTGTTTCTGCCTCCCCAGCACTGAGATTACAAGCAGATGGATACGTGTGCTGAGGATCTAACTTGACAAGGCAAACACTTTACCAATTAAGCCATCCTCCCACCTACATGTTTTTTTTTGTTGTTGTTGTTTTGTTTTGTTTTTTGGGTTTTTATGTTTTTGTTTTGTTTTTGAAGATAGGGTCCCATTTACCCCAGGCCCATGTGCCACCACCATACCTGCTGTGACTTGGTGCTGGAAATTGAAGCCAGGGCTTCCATTTGCTAGGCAACTATCTCTACCAACTGAGCTAAACCCCAGTTACGTGCATTGTTTTCTTATGTGTTGCTTTATTTTGTTCTGAGACGGCATTGCCTCACTGTGTAGCCCTAACTGGCCTGGAACTCACTGTGTAAACCAGACTGGCCTGGAACTCAGAAATTTGCCTGCCTTGGCCTCTAGAATGCTGGTTTAAGGTGTGCACTGCCACGCCCTGCTATACATTGTATTTTATTGTTTGGGATTTGGTTGTTTGTTTTTGTGGTTGTTTATTTTGTTTTTCAAGACAGGGTTTCTCTGTGTCACAGAGCTGGCTGTCTAGAACTCTCTTTTTAGACCAGGCTGGCCTTAAACTCACAGAGATCTGCCTGCTTCTGCCTCCCAAGTGCTGGGATTAAAGGCATGCGCCATCACTGCCCAGCTGGTTTGGTTTTTTGAAGAAGGGTCTCACTTTGTAACCCAGCCTGGAGCTCTGTAGACCAGGCTGGCGTCAAACTCACAGACAGGAGTCTGCCTCTGCCTCCTGAGTGCTGAGATTAAAGGTGTGTGCCTGGCCGGGCGGTGGTGGCGCACGCCTTTAATCCCAGCACTCGGGAGGCAGAGGCAGGCGGATCTCTGGGAGTTCGAGGCCAGCCTGGTCTACAAGAGCTAGTTCCAGGACAGGCACCAAAAAGCTACAGAGAAACCCTGTCTCGAAAAACCAAAAAAAAAAAAAAAAAAAAAAAAGAAAAAAGAAAGAAAAAGTAAAGGTGTGTGCCACCATGCCTGCTACATTGTGCTTTAATAAACAAAAATTATACATTTATAAATAGCCACTTAGTAACTTGAGAAGAAGAGCACAGTCAGCCCTGTGCACCTCAGGTTCCATACATCCATGATCAGAACTAGGACTGCAGATTCTGGGGAGGGGCTGTGGGTAATAGCGCTTGTCGCTGAGTGACACCCTAAATGCAATCCCAGGTCCCGCGTGCTGGAAAGGAAAGTGTCCTCTGACCGCCACACTTGCGTGGTGTCACATGTGTGCCCATGCACACAAAGCATTAGATCATTACAGGAGATGTTGGGGAGGGCTGGAAAGATGGTTCAGTGGGCGAAGGAGCTTGCGCTGCATGGTGGGAGGAAAAATCTGACTTCTGCAAGTTGTCCTCTGACCTCCACACGTACACCATAGGAGTTTACACACACACTAAATACAAATTTAGTTGAAAAAGAAGGTAGGTGGCGCACACCTTTAATCCCAGCAGAGGCAGGTGAATCTCTTGAGTTCGAGGCCAGCCTGGTCTACACAGTGAGTTCCAGGAACAATCAGGGCTACACAGAGAAATGCGTCTAAAAAGAAAGAAAAAAACTTAAAAAGTATGTTTGTGGGGCTGGGGAGATGGCTCAGTGTTTAAGAGCACTGGCTGCTCTTCCAGAGGACCCAGGTTCAATTCCCAGCAACCACATGGCAGCTCACAGCTGTCTGTAACTCCAGTTCCAGAGGATTTCATATGGACATACATGCAAACAAAACATCAATGCACACGATAAAAATAAATTTAAAAAAAATTTTGTATGCATGCACACATCTGTGTGTCTGTGAGCCCTCATAAGCCAGAGGGAGATGTTGGCTCCCCTGGAGCTGGAATTAAAAGAATTTGTAAGGGGGAGGATACAGGGGCAGGGTGGGAGGACAGAAGGGAGGGGGAACTATGGTTGGTACGTAAAATGAATTAAAAAAATTAAAAGTTACAAGCTACCCGTTTCACATGGGTGCTGGGAACTGAACTTGGGCCCTTTACAAGAGCAACAAGTGCTCTTAACCACTGAGCCATCTCTTCAGGCCCAATCCCCCATGAAAAGAAAAACCTTAAGAAAATATTGCCAAGGGAGGGGATGGTGCATGCTTTTAATCGCAGCACTCTGGAGGCAGAGGCAGGTGGATCTCTGAGTTTGAGGACAGCCTGGTCTACAAAGTGAGTTCCAGGTCAGCCAGGGCTACACAGAGAAACCCTGTCTCAAATCAAACAAAATATATATATATATATATATATATATATATATATATATATATATGAGGGAAGTTACAGCAAGGCGATCACTGAAGCTTCAAGGCTAGCCTTGGCTACAGAGTGAGACCCTGTCTTAAAAAAAAAATTGTCGGGGGCTGGAGAGATGGCTCAGAGGTTAAGAGCATTGCCTGCTCTTCCAAAGGTCCTGAGTTCAATTCCCAGCAACCACATGGTGGCTCACAACCATCTATAATGGGGTTTGGTGCCCT